CTTGCTTGCTTGCTTGGGGCATGGAGGCCGAAGCCCCCTGGCCCGTGGGCCTACCCACGGTTTCCGGGCCTGGGAGTGATCCTGTTCCCCCGCATGCGCGTGTAAACCCCATCCCCCAACAGACACCCCTCCTAAACCCTTACCATGGCAACCTGATCAGGGATCACACGGGTCATCCAGGTACTCCCAGAAACTTTTCTTTCGCCAGGCCACCGAAGAGGTATGGTCTTCAGAAAGTTTCTCTTTAGAGAGAAGGCGGATAAAAATCCGTTCACAGCTGGGGTCCCCGCAAAAGGGTCCCCCGCTTATCGGGTGGAAGAAAAAGGCAGGGGACGAATTACGAAAACTGAAAAAGAACGCAACTACCCCTATCTAGCCGCGCTCACTGCGCTCACTTTTTCTCCGTGTGGCTCACCGCTTCTTTTTGCCCTCTCGCGATGGGGCTCCCGATCGCCCTGTCGACGCTTGTCCTGTCTAAAGCTCCTGTAACCGGCTTTGCTTTGCTCCCGGCACAGCCTCCACACCAATGTCATCGGTCCCATTGCCCGTCCTCCGGGTGATCTCCCCGGACTGGTAAAAGTTTGCCATTGTCTCGCCGTCAACTTTGATGGTGAACCGGCAGGGTGGAGCTGCTCCTGCCCCCACAGTTCGCATCGGTACGACTGAGAGGCCCCTTCCGGGCTTGAAGATGGTCTTGTTCCCCTGTGTGCGCCTGTGCCCAACTCCCCAAGGAACACCCCTGCTAACACTGTAACCATGGAAAACCTCGCAGGCCACACACAGGTCGTCCAAGGGTCTTCCAGGCACTGCTACTGGAGTGCGCGCCCCCCTTCCCCTGTGTGTCAGCTCTACGCCGTTGTTCGTGTCCGGTTGGTCGGCGTGAGACTTGACTCTTCCCGACTCCCCAATCTCCCCACTGCCACGCTCCAGGAAGCGGGAGGGGGAGGGGGAGGGAGCAGGAGGGATCCAGCTTTTCCCTAGGCAAAAGTTGAAAAAGTTGAAAAACTTGTTGAAAAAATGAGAGCAAAAACGCTGACAACAAGTAGCCTTCCCACCCTCCCTCCCCCCAACCCCTCCATCGACTTTTTGTTGAACTATGGCAACTTTTTTCAACTCCTTCGGCAACTATCCCCGCAACTTTCCCGAAATCCACATATCGACTCCATTGCAGGATTTGAGTTATTTTCCGGCAACCCCCTTTCCGGCCGACCGGCCGGTCACAAGCCTACTGTACCCCGCCGCACCAAAGTTCGCGACAAGTCTGTGACCCCTTCCGCAGTCGGGAGTGAGCCTTTCCCCCGCCCCCCCTGTCTCTCTCTGTCTGTCGCTTCCTCTGCTTGCAGCAGATATACCTCATGCCTGTCATGTTCTGTACAAATGCATTCAGCACATAGCCGCACTCGCCTTACACACATTATAGATTATACATGATTGCATTGCATGCATACATGCATACCTTCACACAAACACAAGCCACACAGACAGGCACGTGCATGCACACTCGAGAATGTATGCTCATGCCAGCAGCCACTGCGAGCAGACTTGCAGCAGCAGCAGCAGCAACAACAACAACAACAACATCAACATATGAATGTAATCGACAGGCTGACAAGGCAGGCAAGCAGCTACACTAGCCAGCCAAACGATGCAGCACACGGCACGGGCACAGAACAGCTACAATTATATCGGCCGTCCAGACCCAGGCTAGAGAAACCTATCCAGAGCCTATCCAGCACAGATGCAAAAAAAAAAAAGCATGCGACTGAATATCAAAGAAACAAAGCACAAGAAAGCCAAATTCAGCTGATTGAATCCGTTAAGGTCTGCAGATGTACAGCAGTACTCTCCACCCTGTGCACTAATAGGCACGGTGAGACATGCCGCTGTCCGAGCCACCCCGGTCGCAGTAATTGCCTCGGCAGAGCGGACATGTGCAAGTTCGATGTCGGTGACTCCTTCGCGGCAAGCACTGCCCTCAAGAAGGGCCGAGCTCTGCGAATCGCTTCCAAGATGCAGCAGTGGTTGAGGGGCGATGGCCTGCTCACCGCGGAGCGCCTCCTTGGCTTCCCAGGATTCAAGCTTGCAAAATTGCATGGCTGGATCTTGCGCATGCCCCGTTCCCTGGAAAGGCTTCCAATTGTCCAACTGTTGCATGTAAGGAGCCTTCACCGCTGTCAAGCCATGTCCTGCTGCATGCAACAAGAGATCACTGAAGCCAGGAGCCTGTCAAAGCTGCACTTCTTCTCTGCCTTCTTCTGGCGACCCTTCCTCCGGCAAAATGTGTCTTCATCAGTCTCGTCAAAATTTCACTCGGCTGTTCTCTGGCGCTAGCCTCAGCTGAACGGATCATGTCACTCCCTCCATCCTTCTCCCAGTAGCTCGTCCCGTCCCAGATCGAGCCAGATCGCCTGAGTCTGATAGAGAGCGAGAGAGAGGGGAAAAGAAAAAGCACTGCCTTTGTTTTTATTTTGGACCAGCTCTGGGCAGCGCGCCGAGCTCGCGAAGGTTCCGCTTCCGCTCCTCGCCGCTTGTTGCCAGTGGCCCAGCTCCAGGCCGATCGCCACGAAGGACGGCTGCGGTTCCCCCACGCCAGACACCAAGGCCTCGGCAGCCTGAGCTTTTCAGCTTGAACTGCATGTTGGTACCTCGCATACCTTACAATGCCATGTTAATGTCATATTAGCATTAAACATCGATTCGCTTGCTTCCTTGGCGTGGGCCTCATGCACAACCCCTGTTCTGCACGTCGGCGGATGTATGAACCTGGTTGTGAGGTAAGCAAACGGCTTGAAGTATGCCTACAGGCTTTTTATGATTCTATACTGGTCATTGAACCTCACGCCGGGCCTTCACAATCTCGTCAGGGTCCATAGTATCTGGGCCGCCTTCGATCAACTGTTGGCTCCGAGTGGTCCCATTAACTCATTCGTCGATGCTTTCAGAAGCTTCCGAAACTGAGCCGTCTTGGAGCTCCAAGCCTCTGTTTTCTCGTGTCTAAAGTAACTGTTGCACGGAGTGGAGCCCATGTGCTCTAGCGGCTGACCGTGGCTGAGCCCTGAATCAACCAGGGCGACCTGCGGAGCGAGACGAAGCGAACACAAAACCTGTCGCCGGGTCATTGAAGCTTGTTAAGCCTCTTCCGGCATGCGAGGTTGGCACAAGAACTACATCACTTCAGGACGAATCCGAAGGTCGGGGGGAGCGGGAGCAGCACGTGCTGAGTCTGCATGCATGAGGACAGAACGAGATGCTATCTTGAGTTTAACCTTGATCGAGTTGACGTCTTGCACTTCCCTATTGGATGAGCTTCGCTCCGTTCATGTCTGTGTTCCAATGAGAATGGTTCGAAATCGCATGGATGTATTTGTTGCACCTCTGTCGGGCGCTGGCAGCTGGCGAAGGGCGCCATTGACGTCTGCAGTGGCACCCCAAAGAGCCCGGATGGAAACTGTCCTGGCCAGCAACAGCGCAAAAACAGCAACGGTAACTCATGACAAAGCAAGGAAAAAATGCCTTACCGTGACTTGCATCGACTGGCAGACGAGTGGCCCATCTTCTGTCAATGCCCTCAGCCACTCCGCGAAAACACTGCGTAGTCCCGAAGAATGACGTGGATTCATCAGCAGACCTGCAGGATCAAGCAGCTAGCATTTTTTCAGAAAAAGAGACCAACTTGAGTACTGCCACTGTGCCAGAGCGCACATTTACTCCTGCGATTACCAGCCGGTCAGCATCTTCCACGCATACCCTTAGCCCCACCCTAAGTCCCACGTATCCCGGTTTTTAGCCAGAATGCAACGTTGGTCCAACTGAGTTCTGCCGGCGCTCAGCACCTTGCCGCAACCAAGCCGGGCTGGATGGTACTAGTAAGAGTGAAGGGGACTTTCGGGCTGTCTAGTTGCAAAGCTCACACGCACCGCAGGCAGATGTGCAGCAGTCCTTCCCTGGTAATTGTTTTGCCCTGCAATGTCCAACTGCACGTAATGCACGGCAAGCTAGACAAGCACCGCTTTGTTGATCCTGTCTCGGGTTGGCTGAATACAGTGCAGTGGTGAGAGATTCCCTGTGCCCGTGTGGGCGCCATCAGTGGCAGGGCTGCCCTGGCAGGTCTGGCCAGCTCTTTCGCGTGGCGCTGCAGCTCCTGGTGCACATGGCTCCCTCAGCGCTCTGACGCTCAAGCCGGTGGCCGATGCCCTCCTTTACGGCTTGCGTATGCTTGCGCCATTTGCGGCTACACCGACAAGCTTCTGCGCAGGGAAGAGTGCCAAAGTCACGGCTCGAATTCGCACAGCTCCTGGAGGTCTGCGGCCTCAGCGGCTGGTCTGGGCTATCCTAGCTTGGATTCCAAGGACCACTGACTGCTTCGCTTCAGATCTATGCGAAACCACAAGACCTACGTACTGAGCTCCGGCCCTCTGATGACAACGCCCTATACTAGGTTCCAAAATCTGGATAAGCATGGACATCATGTCGTGTTGCTCAAGCTCTACAGTTCCATGCCTACCGCTCCGGAAGACTCGCAGCACAACCATTGCAGCCACTATCCAGGCCTGGTAGACAGCGACCGGAATCCTGAGTGCAGACACACAGGCGATCATGCAACTTTAATTGGGGTTTGGAGATTGAAAGGCGTGAGAAGCCAATAGCAGCACAGCCAGCCATGACGTAAGGGGGACGGGCGGCGGGGAAGCATCGTGGCATGCCGATGCCGGCGGTGGCGGCGCCAGGGGAGTGGTGAGCGCAGCCATGCGAAGCTCTTGACGGCTCTTCACGGTTTGGGCTTACGGGGCTTGTTACTACGACGCAGCTTATGCCTCCTCGAGTTCTGAACTAAGTACTGTGTGACAGAACTGGCACAAACCTTGCGAACAGAAACAAATCCAAAAGACCAGCACTCCCATGAATTTATCTTCCCCCCTCCTTGACAGCAGTGTGTGACTTTCTCACCGTTCCAAGGACATCACGAATCTAGAGCTTAGGCTTAGACAGAAGAACATCCTCTAAGAAGCACGGGTGAGCAGGGAAGCCCGCTCCCTATGCGCACGTGCGCAGTTGGTACCACGAAGCTCCAGCTCCTCCAGTTCCTTCTCTATCTGATCGATCAGCTTTTGGTGCCTCAGCAGTCCCAGCAAGCGACACGTACCGCGCTGCGACAGGGCTTTCTTTTTGAAGCAATGGACTCAGGGACAGGGCATGGTTCCCCGAATGGTGTATTCCAGTGTGGTTTCGACTGACGGCCACGGTTCTTCGCGAAGAACAACGAACAACCAGCAGGAAAGAAATCCATTCCAGTTTTCCTTGAGGTGCAGTGCTCAGTGCTCTCGCTGCATTCTGCCACACGCATGTCTCCAGAAAGCCTCGCAATGCCTGATCACCCTGGACACAGACACTGACTCCAACAACCTCGACAGCGTAAAACATCGTCTTAAGCGAAGAAGATCGAGTAACAGAAACCAGAGTGTGGCTTTCATTGCAATGGACCGAGATGTCACTGCATGGAAAACAAGCAGGAGAGACCCAGGTTGAAGCTCTGGCCGTCGGTGGGCGAAGCACAGGGTACAGCATGATACGGCACCGCCCTCTTCACGAAGGAAGCATAAACGCATGCAGCTGCTAGTCACGCTAGTCACATGGTCGCAGTGGCATCAATGGCGCCTGCCCTGGGACACAAACACGCCATCTGTTTCGAGACGAGCTTCCTGCTGCTCTTGTGCCAGGATCGGTGATTTTCAGAGTCCTGGCATCCTGGGAGGATTTTCCTTGAAAGCTGAATGGCTGAGGATTTCACCACAAAAATTAATTTACTCGGGATCTGGTGAAATTCCCACGCCACTCACGCGGAAGGGGTCATTCAAGACCGCTCAAGGAATCCAAGGTCAAAATGGGAGAGTCGGTGCACCCCCATAAAATTACGGTTGCTGACTGCCGCGGCAGCTACGCTAGCAACCAGATATAGCATCAAACGGGTCCGCGGATGCGCAAGGCCGCATCTTTGCGCTTGGTATGCTGAAGATCTCACGAACCCCAAAGGTCGCCAAACACCCCCTTAATAACAATTGGAGAACACTTGCCATGACACCAATCTGCATCAGCCGGGCCCTTGTCAAGCGCGGCATGGCTTTGCAGCATCATCTTGGCTAAATCCTTCGTCCCCAATCTGGAGCAGCCAGGAACAGGCCAAGAGAGGTGATTGCATCTCGCCGACCCAATTTACAAACACATACTTCTATAGAGTGCCCGCTGTACAGAGATTTGCGAGGCTTCATCTGAGCGCACGCAGATGAACGCCCAACTCGCTTCCATGGCAGACGACTGACGCCTGCCCTCGGAGAAGGGGGAGCTAGCCACGTTTCTGCGAGCTTGTCCGGAAGTGGCGCCGGAGGCTGTGGCCAGTCATGCCTCCAAAAACTGAACAAAGCATCGAATTGGAATTGAGAGGGCCCACAGGGGTCGGCCCTCATCCAGCACAAAGTGCTGAGTGGGTATTGCTTGAAGTGATCAAGCCTCTTCGCCAATAAAAGGCACAAAATTGGAGAGCACGGCACAGCCATGCCATGCCCAGTGCTTAGGAACACTTTGGGAGAGTGCCGGGAGGAGGACAACTCGGTGAATTGTTTTGGCTCCCAGATGTCTCAAACCTCAGCTACACCTAGAGTCCTAGAGTCGGTTCAAGTCAGAGCCGGGTCGTCGACTGCACTGTCCAGTATGCTGGAAAATTGGCACGAGGCATCTGCATGACCATTCAAAACAGCTCGCGACACGGATTGGTTCGGGCACTGGCTGTGAGGAGCAGTCAGTTTAATAGCAAGTCTGGAAACAGGCACTGGCATACTAGGCCCATGCGGGCACTGCTTAATGCGCCACGGTGCTGTGGTCTCCGTGTCATTTTGTGACTCCGTGTCTCGAGGGTGCACGAATGGTTTTAGATCGCAGAGTGCCAAATGAATTGCACGCTGCGATTCCTTTCGAGGATGGCGTAGAGATGCAGATCGCCTGACAGGCTACGTTCAGGCGGCGAGGACGGACTAGCGCTGTGAAAGCTGGAATGCGGACAACCCTTCCCAGTTGCACTGAAGATCACCGGCGTGCGCATGTGAAGGCAAGACGATCTCTATAATAGTCTGGGGTCTAAGGATCAGGTGTCCATGTCCGCTTTGTACAGCACGTGTCAGGGCGGTGTTGGTACATGTGTTTTCGACCTTGTTCGACAACAGCGAGCCTGCTGCGCCGAGTCGGCGAGTCAAATCAAACATAATCGGATAAAGTGAGTCGGCGAAAGTAGCCTGGACTTCAATTTGCAGCAATGCAGATTGCAAAGCTTGCTTAGCCTCAAGAAGCAAAGCTTGCTATTCGCTGGCTGCAGAAGCTAGGCACAGGTTGCCAACACACTGCAGACCAACATAGGTTAGACACTCCATGCCTGCTGGCGCTTGAAACCTTTAGCTGGCAGGGCCAAATGGCATGTTCCATCTGGCACAGTCACGTCGCCCGACTGCACGTCAGACACATATCCTTGCAAGGAGCGGCCATTCCTGCCCCCTTCTTGGACATCCGTGCTGACAAAGACACGGGAAGGACACATTAGAACTCCCTTTCTTTCTGCTTCCACAACTTGCGTCCCTTGCAAAATGACATTTCCCTACCACATGATGTGGTCTTCCACGACTGCCTCTTGCTGCAATGGGTTGTATCGGCAAAGGCGGGAAATTCAGCAGAAGCCCTGGCCGTCCTCCATCATCGGTTAAGCCGACCGCTGCAAAGCCTAGAAGCTCTCAAGATGAGGACAGTTCAACGACGTTCAACAAGCCGTCTTCTATAAACGAATGTCTTCGTGACACACGCGGTGATGCGTACCGGACCCAAGCGCGGTACTCCGCTACATTCAACCCCACTTCAAGACTTCAAGAGCCACAGCAAAAGCTCCAGGCCAAGAAGCCAGCACGGCTGACGACCCCCGGGCAGCAGCCACCTCCTCCGCCGGTCAGGATCATGTTGCACTGGCCGTTGTTGTCCTCGGCCAGAGTGCTCTTCACTTCAGCCATCTCAGTCTTTTTGGAGCATGCAACACGAGGGTACCACGAAATGTTGAAACAAAGCCACGAGATCCTCCAGTGAAGCACGCGTGCACAAAAAATAAAAAAATAAAAATAAAAATAAAAAAACATCTGCCCACGGTGCCACCAGTTATTGCGACAGCCAGTCCATCTGCGATTGATGCATAGCTAGACAAACTTAGACAGCCACACTTAGACAAATGTGCTCTTTGTATCTCTGTGTACTATATGCCCAGATCCTTAGCCAGATATTGTTTTCTATTGGGTGGACTGGGAAGTTACATGAGGGTCCACGTGAGTACGCAAACGAATGACCTCGTGCGTCGTGCCTGCCCAAAGCTGAACTCATCACGTCGATTCTTCTAAGGAAGAACCGATATCGCGGACGGATGAGGAAGCAACGAGAGGACTGTCAGAGACACCAGAGCAACGTCACAGGACCACAGGATGGAGTCGAGGCACGGTCCCATCACAACGTTGCGAATGGTCGTGCCCGTATGCGCAGATGACGTTCACCTCGCCGAACTGAAAGGTGCCAACAACCATGCCAGAACCCTGCCCAATCCCATATTCTAAAGGCCAATCCCTCTTCGGCCCCTGACATCGACAAGCTTTTCTAGACAGCAGGGCGATTGCATGTTGTGCCTGACGACCCGGCCGCAAAGCTGACAGAAAGATGTCCTGACAAATCGCTGAGATTTTGCGTGTCGCGACTCGTGCAGCAGACATACAGGCAGAAAGACATAACCAGACGCACGCACAGACAGGCAGGCAAGCAGACAGACAGATAGACACGCACACAGAAACGCTCGTGCCTGCATGCACAGGCCGGGCAGGCAAGCTGTCGCCGTCACTGCAGTTTCATGCTCAATCCTGTCCTTTTGGCACTGCCCCGGGTAGTGCTGCATGATCCTGAGCGCACGAAGACCAACGCATTCATGATTCCGGCTTGACATGGAGCCAGCGAATAAACTTGCAGTGCTGCCGGTGTCTTCAACCCGATGAAGCCCTTAAACCCCACAACACTTACCAGTCACAGGGTCAAGACTGTCTTGGCTGTGCCCTGCGCCGCACGCTGTCGGAGAAGTTCCTGAGATTCCATTCCGGGCTTGCAGAAGTTCCATGTGATAGCTTCCTGCATCTTCCGGGGTGCCTCTTGTTGGCACCTGGATCTACAATAGGACAAGAGCGGCTGGTGCCGAGTAATTGTCAAGAGGTCCCGCAGCCCTCCTCTCCCTCAGCAAACCCTACCACTTGGAGTCTGCCCATGAACTCGCTGAGCAGCCTCAAGGCACCTTTGAAACTTTGCGCCCTTTCACATGTCCGTAGTCCACAGTCCGACACAACCCCTTCCTTCCTGTCTGCCTCTGCGACCGGGCCGATGCGGACGACGCGAAGCGTTTGGAATTATGGTTCAAGTCTCATGCGGAGATGAGAGAAGGCAGCAGGGCTGCATAAAACAACGCTGACATATTCAGAATGGTGGACTGAGCGTCGCAGCATGGCAATGTATGTCAAAGTACCAAGGCAGTCGAGGCACTTGGCCAGCCTGGTTGACCCTCTGCAGGAAGTTCCTATGGCTAGAAAGTCACAACTGAGCCAAGAAGATCCGGTAACTGTTTCCATTCCAGCCGAAGCACCTCATGTTTCCTTCACCTCCACAAACATTTCCCATCTTCCAGGCTCCTGCCACAGGCATCATGTTCTGTGAACACGATGCGTGCTTACGAGCACAAACACTCTGAGCTCCAAGCCCGTGCACTTCCATGTCTTTATTGAGGGGACGTACAAGTAAAGCTCTAGTCTAAGTTATTGGGGAACCTTCTGTACCTTTCAAACAATCCAATTCAGACGACAGCAAAGTCCTCCTGCGTCACCTCCAAGGCCCTCGATGTCCTGCTGTCACTGTGGGAAGGACAAATAGGCAACGGGGCGTATGTAGGATGCACTGATGCGCGCGAATATGCCAGAAGTCTCGCATGCTGCCCAGTCTCAACTTGGTTCGTGTCAATGGCCTCACCGACTGAGTAGCTTCGACGATTGCACGTACAAGTCACTCATATACTGAAAAACAGCCTCAGCCGCCTTATGTAACAGCATGAAGAGAGCGGCAAAACAAGCATCACCTGTATGGCTTCATTTCCAGAAACTAAGAAAGGGGCGATCACTTCCAGGTCTGCTTCTGGAATCTCGTAGTGGTAGTTGTAGTCAGGCAGCCTGTGCATTGTGGAGACGGGGGAATTTGATACTTGCGGCCAAGTCAAAGTGCCGAGCTGCCAGTACAGTTTTGTGTTGCCGGGCCGGTTGGGGTTCCTGATCTATCCAGCCGCATAAACTTGGAACAGGGGCAACAAGGCGCGACGTCCGCATTTACATTCAAGTGTCTTGTCCACGTTGAACTGTTCGCAGCCATATCGCTGGCCGTTGACGGTTGCAAGGGGAGCCTGTGCGCTTGCCAGCCAGCACAGCATGCAACATCTTCTGTAAGCTCCCGACGTCGACACTCAGAATTCGATCGGAAAGGACAGCTTCTCTCACTTGGCTGGGCCTGCATTTGATCAGCACAGGCTGCATATGGATCGTCGTTTCCCAGGTCGTGATTCCCGAGAACAGAGAGCCACGGCACCTGTCCGCTCAGGAAAATTGTGCCACAAACTCATTCGCAAGTCAATCTTTCTGGGACACCTGGTACAAGGGGCTGCCCGGGTCGTTGGGACCATAGAGGGATGCCCAGGACGCTTGCCAAGCGCCTGGAAAGAACATGCGAGCTTCCAACCACAGCTGCCTTCAAGTGCACTACACGCGCAAGTGAAGCGCAAGAGAAGCAAAGATTTGTCTGCTGTCCACAAGCGTCGGCAAACCTGTCCTGGCGTCACTCCACTCCAGTAAAAGTTGTCGCCGACGGATGCGATGAAGAGCCTTGGCTGACAAGGTCTCTTCGTTTCTGATCGCTTGCACTTGCTTTCTTGCAAAAGCATGACAGCATGCCAAGCCGCAACTTCTTCCCCTGCTGCTGCTGGCGAGAAACGTACGCCTTCCTCACTGCACCCGACAAAGACTCACTAATCATAACACAACTGCTCCGTAGTTTCTTGCGTAGCCTGCGGTTTTACAATTTCAGCACGGAAGTGAAAGCTGCAGCTTACCAAACTGCGAGCGGCCTGAATCTGCGCTTGATTCTTGGCAAGCTACAAGTGGTCAGCCACTGCTCGCTGACATGGGCCAGGAGAGGCAGCACGTCCCCAGTCACCGATCATCAGAAAATAATTCTGGCTTCCTGAGCTTCTTGCTCACGTGTTGTTTAGCAAAGTCCTGGGTTCGCCTACCTACAAAAGCTGCGCTTGCTCAGGGATCAGCGTGGAGGAAGCAGTCATCTTCAACATCATGAGCTATTGAGAAAAGGCTCTCTGGCCATTGGGCTGAATGCCCAGTGGGTTTTGGCCATCGTAGTTGTTGATGTAGGGGCCTGGCCAAGCCATTCCGGTCCCAGCGAAGGCAGCATCCTCAAAACATTCAAAACCTTCTGATCCCGTCTGTTTGAGTGCTCGACCTGTATCCGTGCCTGAAGCTTTTGCACCAAACTGCACATCTACTGCAGCAGCAGCACCACCACCACCACCGCAGCTGCTGCTGTGGTGAAAAATATGGTGAAAACGATGACGACGACAAACAGCGTGCGAAAGCCTTGATCCTTTGTTTAACTCACCGAAGCTAAAGACCTTCCTTGTATGAACTAGTATCACCGCACATGATCCACAATCTCAACCAAGAGTGAATTCTCGTCACGCTCCACTATGCGTTTGTGTTTTATAATGACTGCAGTGCTCGTATCCACATTCAACACGCACCCTCCCAGCGGGGGATGAGACGGTGACTTGAAGGACTGTTGCGAGGGCACCCCGAATCAGCCAGTGTCAGCCGCCCAGCCTCCGAGCCGTCGCAGAGCAGTATTGTTGCTGCAGCAGTCCATCTGTGGACCACCTCTCAGTTTCGGCGTTGAGGCGAGCCAAGCTGTTGCACCAAGCCGGGGAAGCTTCTTGTGGACAGCAAGACCAGTCCGTGATGACTTTGCTTTAGCACTTTGGAACTGCGCCTGGTGGACAGCAGTCGCCAGATAGGTGAGCACAACCTTTAGGTGATTGCGGAAGCATAGAGAGAGGCTGCTGGCGCTTCGTAAATGAGCGGAGAACCGAGATGGTCGGCACATGCGCTGCTGGCCCCGGTACCGACGGCGCAGGTGGCCATCGCCAGGAAAATCCTGCGGGCAGGAATGAGAGCAGCTCATGCAGCCCTCACTTACTACGTCCTAGAGCATTTTGCACACCGCTTCTTTGCAGATCAGCAGGATCACCAAAGCATGCGCCAAATCAAGCGTCCCAACTGTCCTGACCGAGTTCATCGTGACGCAGCGGCAGCGAGGTGCAGCGGAAAGCAATTAAATGGGCTAAAAATGCCTCGAAACCCGCACAGCCGGACATGAAGTCACGTGAGGAGGTCCCGCTGGCATCAGTAACCGCATTAACGACGACATTTTTTAGCACTCGCACTTGAAACTCAGATTAACGACGACATACGGCGACTATGCGAACGACTTCCGACTTCATGGACAAGGCTAGAAAAAAACTGACGACATGAGCATATCCCGCACGAAACCGCGTCGGACAACAACTTGAAGCTCTTCGAGATCAGAAGCGCTGGGGCACTCGGGAAGGTTCAGATCAGAGGGCCGCGCTTTTGCTTCAGATCCCTGCTGCATTGCGATACCGCACTCTCCAAGCCTCGGAATCTATTTCATCCATATGCCAGGCATGGCTCGATGACGCCCGGCTGTACTTTCAGAGATGCTCTCTCACGGACTCGTGAGTCAAACATACGATTAGGTCCGAAACAACGGGCACTAAGGGCGTGACGTATCTGATCAGATTTTGCGGACTCGACCCTCAGCCCGAGGCACGAGGTCAAGGACTGCACTGCACTCAAGCCTACCCGACAACCCTTCTGCAACTGTTCACCTTCGAACGGTCTGTTATTGCCTGCTGCATCCTGCGGCTCTGTCGCAACCACGGACCAAAGCTGCGGCACGGATGCCAAATATGGATTCTAGATACAGCACATGCTAGGTTGCCTTGTTCCATCTCTGCAAGCTCGGAAGCCTGAGCTATCGGCTCTGCCAGAAGCTTCCGCAGCTCCTCCATTTGCATGCGAGTCATCCTTGCCACGTTCTCGGAGCTGGCTTCGCTTTAATGTCTTTGCATGGGAAGGGCTGCATGCGAGGTTTGGTCGTCGCTGACCGGGCATCCCATCTCAAACGATTATGAGCAAATGCCATAATAGCTGATGCTTAGGAAGAGATCACCGGGACCGTGGCGGGATGAGGGACCCGCGCTCGACGGAGAGGTTGGCACCGGTCACGCACATGCGGACCTCGATCTCGCCTCGGACGTGCGGAATGAAAGCATGCGGTGTTCAAAGTCAGCATTTGCAACCCCTCGCAGCTCTAGGCTCGCCCCGCTGCATGCTTTCGGAGTGCACGGCCATTCTGCCGCATTCATCGCATACGTTCTACAGGTTCTTCGGGCGAAAAGCTTCAAGCTGAGCCCACAGAACTGAAACACGGACGAATTCAAGTCACACAAGGCTTCCTAGTGGTTTTTCCCGGCGCTAGGTGTCCAAACCGGGGATTATGCTCATCTAGCCTCCAGCATCCACAAATTAAAACGATACCAGCTTTCACCTGGCACTGAGCTAGGCGCCCGACCTTTAACGTGTGGGACCATGATCTCGCAAAGACCATTGCCACCGCTGCGGACAGCCAGGTCATTCCGTCTGCAACAGCTGGGCTGAACACAACTGCAACTCGAACTGGCTTGTCAGAGCACGGAATTAAATGGAAAGTTCCTGCATACCCCAAGTGCCTCCAAACGTTTGCCACGCCCATGTTCTTGACCGCCTGCAACAAGGTTAGCCATCTTTGGCGCCGACATGCGGTGCTGCCAAGGACTGACCACGTGATCGAATAATTCGCAAGCAGCAATCACCTTCTTCTCCAAAGCCAGGCAAGCATCCTCAAGGCACCGTGGCGGCTGAGTTTGGGTCGACTACACTCGGCTGGACAGTGAGGATTATATGATGACTGCCTCTCAGAGGCCAGGCTGAGGGCGCCACATCCACAGCATGCACTTTGTTGGCAACCTCCAATATGGGAAAAAGCCAACCACCCGAGAGCATCCCATGCCCGCTTGCGCTTTGAGAGAACATAAACGGCAACTGAGACTAGTCGTTCCTCTTCAGCACAAGGACTCTAGGACTATCGAGAACACGTCGTGTACCGCCCACCTTCCCGGCAGCCATGGCCTCCCGAGGACTTTCACTGCAACTTGCAGGTATTCTGCCGAAGCCGATGCTGCAAGCAAGAGTCCACCTATATTCAATGCTGCACTGGCCTTCTTTTGCTGCGTGTCGATGGTGGACTTCGAAGCCTCCTCCACCTCGTCCTGTCGAAGGCGAGGAATCTACATGAAGCCTGGCATTTCAATCACTTCCCGTGGTCTTACGGAGAATCTGTAGCTGGTGTCCTACAATCGACCCGATTTGCAACTGCGTTTTCGCACTCTGTGCAGGCCAGTCCCGAAACCCTTGCGTGCCTTCAACCGCCGGGCATTAAAAAGAGCCCCCATGTTGGCGCTAGCTCCTTGCCGCTTCACCAGGAGCCTTTGACAACAGCACTGGGAAATGACAAGCGATGACGAAAGAGCGCCATACCATTAACACCCAGCACCTGCATCTTCATGATGTCAGACTATATACTTACTAATTACTGCTAGTGCGTCTTCTGGTCTGGGGGCACTTCTGAAGCACAACGATGCACAGGCAGAAGTTCGACTGCTCAGCCGGCGACTTCTTCCACATGATGTCCACATCCTCAGAAGAAAATCATCGACTTAGGACTCCCCAGGTGCGCATCACAGCAGACCCCCAGTGTCCTCTAGAAGCGCAGTGCAATCGACTGCCTCCCGTGCCAGAAAACTCAGTCAGACAGCGAGGTTCTGCAGAGTCTACAGCATACACATGCGTACACTGTCTTACAGCGGGCAAATCACAGATCACCCTGCGAAACGCACATCAGCAGGAACAAGTGATTGCCGTACAGATGCTAGAACTTCTGCCAAGACCGAACGTGGATGAAACTGCAGGATGTGCGGCGGACGCTAGCTGCCAGCAGTCAAAAGCCAATCCCATGTACACGCCGTAACTATTCCGTCAAGACTGACGAAACCTCATGGATGCCAGTCATGCTTTCGGCATATTGCGCTTCTCTTTGAATACACTGTTGTTGCATTGTTACTGTTACAATTTCTGGCTGTCCGACATGCTCCGAGCCGTTGGCTCTGGCAACCAACTGCTTGGCAGGAACCGCCGAATTTACACTGCAAGCGCGTAACGGCAGAATGTCCACTACGATCCAGGGCTGTATGGCTTGGACCGGATGGTGACAGGCAGATGCCAAACCCCAAGCTTTAGGTTTTAGATCTCAAACCACGATCACAGTATCGGCGTTCCACCAGCTGCAGCTACTGTGTTGTAGTCCGGCTTCGATATGAGATACAGGTATGATGCGGTCATGTGCAATGACAAAGTAACTTCCCAAGTAAATGCGATTGGCAAGTATTGAAAGCACTGCTAACATGGCTAACCGGCACTAACCATGTCGACGGTGTGTAACATGGCTGACGCCTGACGACAGTGTTAGACCGACAAAGGAAAGAACTCCACTGTGCACTACAACATCAGCTATCCGCTGAGAGATTGATACGTGGAAAAAACATGCGACATTAGACGAATAGAACGTGCCCGACCACACTCCTGAAGGCCTCTTCGCTTACTCACGGCTTACATCAAGGAAGGCAAGAGCCTCCTCCTCCGGTGCCGGACCGGGAAGGCTGAGGACGAACTCCTGCGCTGCACCCTGCCGGACCATGCAAATTGGATGTTGCGCGTTTCGCGGCAGACTTTGCAAAACCGCCACTGGGCCAGTCTTCCACTTGCAAACGCGGGGTCACAGCCATGCTGACCGACTGCAGGGCACGGAGCACCTTGCCAGGTGAAGGATCCTTCGCCACGGGCCCATCCCCCAGGGCCTACATGGCATCCAGCATGTGACAAATGTCCGGCGGGAGGTCTCCTTTCTCGTAAGGATCGAGCCGGCACGTAGTCTTGCTGCAGCGGTACACTGCCTCAGGCAGCAAGGGGAAACACGCCACTGCACCCCACAGCTTTGCAATGTTTCCAACTGCTTCAACCATTCACAACCGATTGAAGAGGTTGGCCTGGTGCAGAGGCTTCGCCGGTGGAGATGCTGGTGTGCGTTAGCCCCAGCTTGATCTGCAGGTGCACGACGCGCTGGTGAAGGCATGTACGATGTCTCATGAAGCAGTCACGGAACATGCACGGCTCTGGCTCCTGCAGTTGGAAGCTACAAGCGGAACAGCCAATAGTCCTGCACTGCTAGTTCCGACTCGGCCCTGGTCCAAATGCCTCACCGGAGGCCGCAAACAACCTGAGGAAGCACTCGTTCGTGTCTGTCGTCGAATCCCGAAAAGCCATGTCCAAAGCCCTGCTGTTCGAGCCCGGCACGTGGGTCCTTCAGCCGCAGTAGGACCTAGACACCATGAACTCGTACAAGCAATTCCCAAATTAAATGGTTGTATGAGTGCTGCGTGCATGCAAAGGCTGACAGTCTCAGTGATGAGTGCCCTCTGAGCCTCCCCTTCAGCTCTCTTTTTCTGGCTTGGGCGCAGCTTCGCAGCCTTTTCACAACATCTTCCGGTCGAGCGGAGTTCTCAGAGTTTCACCTCACCTGCACTGAACTTCCCGTTGCTTCGGCTCCCGTCAGCAGGATGCCTTTCCACACTGTGTGGCCATGGGTAACCACGAGCTGCTTTCGGTCGGAGGGCTAGCAGACGAGCTTTCAGACGGTGTCAAGCTTCGTGATACCACACATTGCGCTTGCCGCCGGTGATCTCTTTGCACGAACCAAGCTGGTCTCAGAGTCTCAGCGCTTCTTTTCTGTGTGCCGGTCTCGCAGCACCTTGATGGCAAACCTTCGTAGCTTGGCAAAAGAGTTGCTTACCCCCTGCAGTGCATAGTCTAACAGCCTGGTGTGTGCACACCACCGGAGCCAGCAAAACCAAAAACCAACCTTGACAGTAAGTGCTGCATCAGCCACAGGGTGGCAGCCATCGCTGTGGCCACGTAAAAGCCGAATCGAAGTTTTCCAGTTGTGTCGGCCGCCAAGACCGGAAGAAATGCAGAACCATACAGGAACTGCCAGACTGCTGCACTGGCGACTCCGAGCCCGAATCCAACGGCCACCTCAGGGGGAACCGAGGTTCGATCCGGCCCTGAACATGAAGCTAAGTAGCCGTGGGCTTCTCTTTGACACTTGTTTGACACTCTTTATCTGAGGGGCCTGTGCCGATGTGTGGAAACCCAGCGTAACCCGGAGCCAAGTGAAGCCCAGCCTTTGCTGCGTACATTCGTGACTGTTCGCAAGATTGGCTCCCAGCCATACGGCAGGGATTTAGGCAAGGTTCACGGCAAAACTCGCAGCACAACATGGGAAAGATACATTGAAAACCTCCCATCTCCCCTCTAATCATGTGCTACTAATGAGTCAATGAGACCCAGCCAAGGGCTTGCCTTCACTTCAACATATCTAACTCGTCGCCCTGCATAGATTGCACAGCCTATCGTGTTCCTGCACCAAAATACTAAACAGGGTCGAGCAACGCGCTTGCTAGGATCCCAGCTCCGGCTAGAACACGAGATGCACCTCGACGGTTTGACAAAGGCCTGTCTTCAAGCCTGCAGCCACGGGTCGTGAGATGAAATTGAAGCTGCAAAGTTTAGCCACAAACCCTGGTTGGAGGTGGTGGCGACTCAGAATCAGCGTGGTACAAGCCGCAACTTGCATCCCTTTTTCACCTACAGTTGCCACTGTCATTGGAGTCACCTGGACCATCTCCAAGTCCTGAAGCAAAAAAACCTGGAACACGCCCGAGGCCTGGTTGCCACAAGCGCATCCCAGAGTCGCTGAAGGGCACGACAAGGTCCAGAGCAGCATAAGTCGATAGAAATCCTGCGCAGAATTGCAGCACTTGTAGCAGACTTGTCAGACTTGTTACGGGAGATTTCAAGGGCTTCGGCTGAGGATCTCGCGACAAACTGGTGACATCCCATATCAGTCGAGCAGCCCAGGCTTTGTGCGTGCGATGAAGGCATGCCAGGGTCCTTCACAAACGAGTCAGACTCTGGAATCAAGTGTCAACACCACCTGGATCCCTTGATGAGACTTATGCCGGGTCCAATTTTGGCGCTCCCGTCGGCCGAGACTGATTCAAGAGTATCCTGAGACCACAGCAACAACCACAGCAATCTGCGGCAAATCATGACAGCCTGCCGCTGATTGGCAGCAATGGCAGAGTCCTCTATGAACATCAATCGATACCCCACGCACTGCATGTCATCACAGTACTGGCTTCTGAGGATGTCCGGGCAGGATGAAAAGATTGACTCCAAGTGTCTTCCACAGCTTGCAATTGGCGGCCGCAAGCACCGATCCCAGCAGAGCCCAGCAAGTGGTGTCGTGGCGACGCCACAGGAGCACCCCCAAGACGGCCCCTGCTTTGAGACAATGTGGCGCGCTGGGAGTTAGACGCTTGGCGGGAGGTTTGGAACCTATCGTCAGTGTGGTCGGCATGAACATATTGGGTATGCTCAGGGTACTTCAGCCCTTCACCTTTGCCAACAGCAGCACCCGCTGACACGTTCAAAGGCAGCTCCTCTCCTGAGACGATCCACTTCGTGCCAGCGTTGATCCGGATGAGCACGGCACGAAGCGTTAGCATGATGCGAATAGATAAGGGTGGTCTGACGAAGCCTAAGTAGTTTACAGTAGTTCGTTGTTACTGCAAAGGGCCACGTACAAACTTGAGGTGAAGAAGACATCTGACCTCCGAGATCTTCAGAGGCATTGATCGCTTGATCCAATATAAGATGCTGCAGAGCAGAAACTCGTCAGGCAGGTGTTGCGAAACTTAGCTTCGTCCGATGATTCTCAGATCTCACACTAACTTTGTGTATGGACTTGGTTGAACATGCATACCCAGGATGTTCTGCGATGTTTGTTTTGAAGAGCCTTACCACCACAATCACAAGCAGAACTGCACGAAATAGGAATAAATCAGGAATATCATGTTACAGAAGCTGACACACCACCGACACACGGACCGAATACAAACAGTAAACAAGTAGCACGGGCAGCTACCTGTCTATGTCTATGCCTATGTTTGTACCCATGTCAATACCAATGAATGTCTGTACATGTATGCATGCATGCGTGCATGCATGCATACATGTACCTATCTATCTCTCTACGTACCTAGCTAGCTGCTAGCTGCTACCTGCCTAGCCAACTATCTAATCCATCTATCAACCTGTCTATCTGGCAATCTGAGAGACTGTCTGTCTGTTGTCCGTCTATGTGTCTACGGATGTCTGTATGTATGCATGCCTGCATGTTTTGTATGTATTGTACGTATGTACGCGGGCCTCTGTATGCATCTATGAAACACAAGGTCAGAGTCCACATACAAACGCTATGACGCAGGGCAGCCACGAGTGACAACTGATTAAAATCAAAGCACATTGAATGCACGAGGCCCTGAGCCATGGACTGCTGAGAGGTCTGTTGACCTTCGGCATCGGCGTCATCTTCGCCCTCAGGGTACTGCAGGTTCCACGCAGATGCTTCAAAAAAGTGTTGTGCGCGTATCGGGAGTCCTGCAGTTCTGAGGGTTAATGAGGCAATCTCTGCTGTTGCAAATGACTCCGGAACCCACTCGTCGCTGTCGGTGGCGAATGCTTGTTCTAACCAGGCAAACAAACACGACTTCTGGAAACGGACACGCATCGGCCGGGGCACTCTGTGTTTGCTCACATCACTGGCACTCGTGAGGGTCGAAGCAGTCTAAGCGAGGCCTGGAACACTTTAAGCGTCCAACCCCAAGAACTTTGACTTGAGAGCTGTGAACATATGTAAGGAGTGGCAACCACCATAAATTCCAAAGACTTTGCTCAAGACTAAAGGAAGCACAAGTGGAGACTTCTGCTTGCAACATCCGCACGACTCGGACAAGCTCGATACAGCTCGATCTACATCCCGAGTGTATCAGGACAGGGTGATTAAATCAGCGTCGAGGAGGGCATAGCGAGAAGGGCCGCCTACTAAAACCCGGTGACTTGCAGCATCTTGCAGTAAGGCTGCTCAAGCTTTGCTGCAGTTACTTACCCCTGTTTGTGCTGTCTACACGGCAAAGTTCCGGTCAGCTGCTCACAAGCCATTGTGCCGCACATCCACGAATTCGTGCAAGATCGCTTCTCCTATTCAATGCCACGTCTACTAAGTACGTGTACCAGCCTGCGCTGGACGAATAGCTGAAATGGCATGTCTGTGCTAGTAGGACAGGTGCTGCTTGTGCTCTCTTCTCATGAAAGTGAGACAGCGGCCCACGGCCGATATCCTGGCAAGTGGCGAAGGTTGAGATGGGAGCTGTTGCAAATCATTTTGCATGCTTGCTCAATTCAAATGAGGTGTTTGGGTGTCAAAAGATGGCCTGAACCACGAAGCATTCAAAACATATGTCCTGAGCACACCAGCTTCCGGCAGGCCAGAGAACCGGCACATGAAGCCACAACATGTACTTGTTCCGACAGACTGATCCTCGACCTGATTCCTGCCTATTATAGACATTGTTCTGCGTAGGGTTGGTATTTTGAACAGATAGCAGATAGCGCTGAAAGTCCTCCGATGGCCCCTTTTACTTCACTTTCCTGAAGCTGAGAGCTTGACCCAGGACGTCTCTTTTCTTTTCCTGTCCGGATGTGTCGTTCAGTTAAGTTTTCCTGTCAGCAGATCCAACTTGCCTTCGCATCGCTCTGGAAAGCTCGATCTCCGCCATACAATCCCCGAGCACGAGTATAGTGTAGTGTACTGCTTCACAGCCAGCACAGGCTAGGTCTCAGACGTACTGAACTGCGGCAGTCATTACACTCACCTCTCCTTGCCCGATTGGGCTCAGCACCTGGCTTGAGCAAACGAACCTCTGGAATCACCGGCTGCGCCTCTGCAGCACGCCGCCGCAGCTTCTCGATGCGCTTCTTTTCCTGCCAGGGACTTCTAGAACGATCTCAATTGGAATTGTAGCTGAGGGTAGTCTGACGGATACGAGCAGCAGTGTCAACATCAAGTCTGTCAGCAGGACTTCCGGGTGCACAGCCCATGGCGCACAAGCGCTCAAACTTGAAGAGGAAGCGACAAGTAGAAGGTCTTTGTTGATCTGTGGTGGTAATGCGCAGTGACATATTCCACGGCTGGCTTCTTCGTTGGTCGCTGGAGAGCAAAACCTGCCACAGCCCTGAACAGCCATGTTGAATTGGTCTGGGCAGCGGGTTGACGCCTTGGCCAGTTGCTGCCTTGGCAGTTGGCACACAATGCATTGCATGCATACTTAGTATACAGTATACACATACACAACACGGGATAGGAGGGTGCTCGTTTTTCCCCACACCAACAGCAAAACAAAAAAACCTCTCCGCACCAACAGCAACACGCTGTGGGTGCCCGGGGCGTTTTGTTTTGCTGTTTGGGCCCAGGCCCTGCACTCACTTGCCGATTCGCCGGGGCAGGTAGGCAGGCGGGCAGCTAGGCAGCCAGGCAAACAGACCGGCGAGCAGCTTCGGAGGCTAGATCGCCACTGCCGCGATGTAACAATGGCAGGTGTAGCTTGACACCATACACTCCGTTGCTTTCCGAGGCGCTGCTCCTTTACGCGCTGCAGATGTTGAGGCAGCGGTGGCGGAGGTGGCTGAGATTTCCTTGAACACTGGATCATAGTGGCACGTGCGGCTCTGCAGCGAACAAAGGAACTAGGGCTTTCTAGACGGCTTTCTGCCGACGCCTCAGGCTGTTTGTCGTTGAGTAGATTTTCAGGGACACAAGCGGCCCTAAACCCCAAAGCCCAATGCCAGGAACCAAACCCTCAACCCTGACAAGCGCCCCGAGCATTCCACCGAGATGCTGCGCTTGCTTTCGTGCGGCACGCGCATTCCGCTCCTGTCACAAGGGCTTAGATAGCACATGTTCAAGCTAAGGCCTCGTGGCTTCGGTAGTACCCTAAAAGTTTCCGGGTGGGGCTGAGCAACGGTATTTACGATGCGAGGAGCTACATGCAGAAGGACCGGTGTTCATGCAGGAGACTGAGGTCGACTGACTGCATCGAGCCACGAAACGATGCAAGTGCGGGTGCCTCCTCAAAGGCTTTCCGCTGAGCAGCCCTGCACAGATGGCAGAAGTCTACGACATCATCTGCTATTGTGTCGATTCGACAAGAGATCTCGCATGTTTCAGCACTGGCTGAGCACATTCCGAAACAACAGACCCTGAACGCGCCCTTGCAGGCTCTTTGTGAACCAAAGCCCTTGGCTTTCAATCACTCTCAGAGCGGCTTCTCGGCTTCTTTCCTCTGGATCTTGTCATGGTCCTGCAAGATTGGATCCATACGTTTACGTGCGCACATGCTCGATGCTGCCATCCCCTGCCTCGAGTCTCTTCTTCTCGAGGCGCCGGGCCATCCTTGAAGTGCAATTGAAGGCATGCGACATGCTGCTTTGGGGCACTGATGATGACTCTGCCGCCCGACCTGACTTCTCGACACCGACATCACCACAAAGGCTCTTGCTTGCTGAAGCAAGTGGCACTTCTTTCCGCCGCATTTCTTCCCATGGGTTGTAAGCCTCTGGTGGTTTCTGGCCTCGGCTGTGCTTAGGCTCGGGCTGCAGAGGCAGGATGCCAACCAACTTTTTGTTAGCAGGTCAAGGCTGCTTGCCTTCTGACCAGCCCGACTTTGCGAGTCCTCTCCCTCCTCTTCTTACCAACTCGCGGATGTGTCAACCGAGGCACCCTTCTTGAAGTTCTTCCCACGAAGCTGCTCTGACTTGACGAACTTTTGCCGCACACGCTTCGCCATGAGGACCGGATCCTTCGCGAAACAAGTGCGAATACTCGGCATCCCATCCATGCCCTGCTCTTGTCGGAAAATTATGTCGCACGCATGACACTGCACCTTCTCGTCCACATCGCTGCGGACCTCTGCTGTCGAGGCATGTGTCAGTGTCAGAAAGGTCTGGCGGTTGCGAAAGTCACTTCGCTCGGAAATGAGATCCTAGGTCCTAGGTACAAGGGTGTTCGTCACAAGTGCAGGAGGCTAATGATACTCTCCGATGTGCAATGTTGCCGTCCATGTCGTCAATAGCATCCAGCAGTTCAGCAAGATGGTCGTTCAGGTCGGTGACCTGCTGCGAATTTCATCTCGATCCGGATCGACTGTCAGTCTGGCACGGGCGTTCGAGTCTAAACATGTCTAAACTTTGGAGCACGACAGAGATTGGCCGCAGGAAGCAAGCTTGCAATGACAACAGAACCTCTATGGCGGCTCGCCGAGAACACCATTCACTCACCGGAACCTGTGGCCCACACAAACACGGACAGACAGACAGACGGACATTTTGACTTTGACGCTTTACGCAGTCTGAGCTACCAGTACAGTTATCATAGCCCGGCAATAGCGTGACTATGTCACAATGGGAATTAACATACATGCCGACAAAAACTAATCATTTGGAGGATTGATGTGAAAGTCAAACTTGCAATTCCTTGCCGAACGTTATACAAAGATTTGTTGAAGATGAGCGCGGGGATCCGGCTCACCTCTTGTGGGGCGGCTAGGGTATGTACTGTACAAGCTACGACAATTGGTCCGACACTCTCCTGGCAGCAGCTGCACTTGCAAATGTTTAGTGAACCATTCGATGGCAGCCTGGAATGTTGGCCTCGAAAGGCACATCCTGATAACAATCTTGTCGCAACATATGTGAAGGTCGCTTCTTCTTGTTGGTAAATTTGTGAACATTGATGGGGGGCCGCATGCGGGCACTGAAAATGAAATTGACAAGCAGTTCAGTCATGGAGCTGTCGGCATGTGAGTGGTTGTGGGCCCATTGCAGCTGCTCGGTCCATGCAACTGAAGCACGAGCAAACACAGGTCAGTATGGACACTGCGCCAAAGCGTCCAAAGCGTCATCGTCAATCAACGCGATGTGTGAGCAGCATCCCGATGATACGTCTAGACCAGACATGTAGAAACGTGTGGAAACGGCAACATTTGCTTTCTTAGTGAATTCGTGCTCAGCGCATCGCGCGATGAACCTATGGAATTGGCCAACGACATGTCGAAGCTCATCTTGCTTAGCGCACAGCGCACGAATTTGATTGAAAGATCGAGAAAACATCAGCGTTTTTCACAGCCACCTTTGCAGCAGAATCAGCAAGCTTTGTTGTAATGCCGACATCGGTCCAAGAAAGGCGGCAGCGCAATGGACGAGTTCACATGGGCTTTGACCTTGGTAAATTCCGCAGAACCTGGTGGTCTGTCAGCAAGTAGAGTATCAATTTTTTCCCAAAGATCGCTGTGAGTCATCGCAGGTGCCTTGCGTCTGGTATGAAGACACTCCATTCTGACACGGGCAGCATCGACAGCATATTGGCAATCTGAATAAACTGTGCATCGCAGCGTCAGCTGCAGCGCAAGCAGAATAGCACACACCTCCGCACGGTCATTGGATTGTTCGCAGCCTGGCAAGACCAGGGAGTGCATGACACCCTCACCTTTGCAGGACACATCGCAAAGACTGCTGCAGCGGCAGAGAGCATTCGGTTTTGGGGCCAGAAACAGGAGCCATCAACAAAGATCTGCAGCGGGTCATTGTTGCTGGGCGCCGTCAACTGCAAAGAAGCAGAATGCAAAGCGGGAAAAGCGGCCAAGGTTGAGTGCAAAGGGGTATTAAGCCAAAACGCCATACGCCTTCAGGCAATTTCTGCAACTTCGAAAACAAGCCGGGAACTCAGCGCGAAAAACATAGGCATAGCATTGGAAAACTCGGTGATGTTTGGAGTCTGGCATATTACAGTTTGGACACTGCAAAGTATTAGACGCATCCCACTTTGTCAACACATCATGGGTAAAGTTACCGCCATGGGCATATAGAAACGAACTGCACCAAGTGCAGCAGATTGAAGTTTGGACCACAGGTCTCTCATACCCGAAATGTCAACAGCGGCAAGGTTGAACCCAGGTCCTGTTTCACTTTGTTCGGCACAAACCTTTAACACCCATGTTTGTGAGAGCGAGAACCACAAGAATTTAGAACTACCCCGAAGCCAATCAAGAGAACCGCACCCACGGGTGGTGCAACATTAGACCCTCTGGCTTCTATCCAATGGTTGCTGCAGCCACTACACAAGGTCCGGCAGGCCTATTGGGCAGACCACCGTGTTTAAGCGTGTGAAAAATTCAATTTTTTCCGGGAAAGTTCCAACAGAAACGCCTCCAAAAATTAACACCTTTGGAAGAAGTCATAACGCTGAGGGTCAATTACGTCTCCAGCAAGGGCGAGTGCAATTTTTGCTTTTGCTCCGGGTCGATTGAAACCGAGAGCTCTGGCGATGGCGGGGCGCCATGTTTTGAACTCCGACACCTAAATCCTCAGCATGCCAAACGAGAGGAATGGGAACACCACGGTCCATACCCAAGATTTCTCGGAAGAAAGCTCAAGCTGGAAAGCATGACAAACATGACACAATGCAGTGAACGCAGCCTGACCGGCCTCAAGGGCATGAGAGGCGAATGACCAGTGATCAGCAAAAATGAAACGACTTGCGCCCTTGCTGCTGAGGACAGAACGTGCCAACAATGCCATGCATGTCATTGTGATGACGGACATGCTGCAACCTTCGGGAAGCCCCGTTTCACTGTATTCAGCTGTACCAGCCGAGCCTTGAACAATGAAGGTGCGTGTAAAAGAACACAACATGTTGTGATAAGCTTCGACATAGGAGCAGTTGATTCCCAGCTGAATCATCAAGAACAGGATGGGCTCTCTGGGCAGGGCATTGAAGCATTTAATAATGTCAAAAACACCCCTACCCAAAACACCTGGCTAAACGAGGATTCCAAGCAATTCGCAACCATGGCGTTGATGTCAGTAACCTTCAACTTTGGGAAGGCCCATAACCAAAGCAAAAACGAGAGCCTCCATGAATGACCGTCCTCAATTGGAAAAGATCAAACAAAAAAGATTGGAGCAGTGCCCCTGGGATCAACTTCAATTCCTGGACTGAAAAACCACATGAACTAAACTACGTGAAGACTTTGTTGACACGCCCTTCAACATGTGGGTCCACTTATCTACCGAGAAAGGGACATACAACATGGGGTCGTGTTCAGGCACGCTGTCAACATACTTCATTGCTTCAGTCCAACACGTATCCTGATTGTCACGGTGGAACAATTCCTCCGAATTTCATGGTCTATCTCGGAAGGACAGACAAGCATTCTCCCAGGAAATATCAGGCTTGTGGCGTCAAGGGAGGATGTACCAGACCGCAGATTCATGCACATTCTGGACTACGAACTCCTTTTGATGATACACGAGGACATCACCGATTGACAAATCCACCGAGGTTTTCAAAGGAATCTTTGTCCGTCCAGTTTTTTGCAGCGGACTGCTTTGACTGGCAAAGGTGTGATGCGAACAATGTGGGACAACTGGCAGTGTTCGGAGTTTTTCAATTGCCTGTAGGCCTTAGCTCCCCCGCGCTCCCAATCTAGGAGGAGCTCTCCACCTCACTCAGTGGCCTTTGGTAAGTATGTACAAACAGACAGACAGACAGACAGACAGACAGACAGAGACAAAAACAGATGCACACACCTCTCGGAAGCAATCCAAACAAAGGATGCAGCCTGAATCAAAAGCCCGCGGACCTGTACCCACATTTCAGATCTCGGGAACGACAGGATGTCAACCCACTGCTCGATTCTGCCGCTCACAGCGCCGCACCCCCCTGACCTACCCCTCCATACAACCGCCCAAGGCTCCTGGCTCAAGCTCGACACGACTGCAGGGGCCTCCTTTTGGTGGTTGTCACACCATTTCAACCGCTTGTTCAAATCTATATTCCTCAGCTGAACCAGCCGCTCAGAATCGCTGGTAGCACTGCAAAGTTTCAGAGTACAACGCTGTGACATCTCGATTCTGCGGTCTACTGCATGTCCTGACCAATCCACATCAGAATCTGCCAAGAAGTTTGTTTGAGCCGCGGTGCATCTGGTGCAGGTCAGAAGCGGCAGCTTGCCCTCGCAGACGCTCGACACCGCGAAAAAACCTGTTTTCCGAGAAAGGTGCCACTCTCTGAAGCACACGGCACCCGTTGGGTGGGTGGGTTTGTGGTTCCGTGGGTATGTATGGGTGTGCGGGTGGGTGTAGATGGTCGGTGGGTGTGTGGGTGTATGTATGTATGTATGTATGTATGTATGTTTGTTTGTTTGTTTTTTTGTTT